AATTCTGAGGGAGGGGGTTTACATTTTCCATTTCAGGAGAGGCTCCTGCCTTCCTTAGCAGACACCTGTCTTTCCAAACTGAGATAGTGATTCAGTGAAAGACTGGAATCAGAGATTGTAGCAGTATCCATAGGCAGTGATAGCTGCTCCTTCACCCTTTCCTCAGAATATGTGCTTCAAGAACACTGAACCAAGTCACTGAGCTCCCACAGTGGTTGAGACATTCCCAGAAGCCTGGGATCACCACAGAAACATTGTTCTGTTTGTCATGGCCAACTTTTAGAAGTGGCAGACAAGCAGAAGAACAAGAAAAGTAAAATTACTCTTGGGGCTGGATTTCAGCAAAGTGTCACATAGAAGTTCTCGACATCCCTCAGAAGTGGAAACAGCCAACAGGGTAAATCATCTACAAGAAAAGGTAGTTATCTACAGCAAAAGAGGGAAAAAACTGGTTCTAGGAGGAAAAAGAATGTAAAAATATTACAGTCTAGCAATGTAAGCTGTGATGGCTGAAAGCTAAACAACGTGAACTGACCAACCAGAGGCTTGATCCAGACTGCAAAGCATGGAAGGTGAGCAGGGGTTACCCAAAGAATTCATTCAGACTTCTTTTGCCTTGCACATCACATAATGCTTTTGACCTGCACAAAATGAGCATAAAGTAATGAAGAGGTAAGATTCTTCGGTGCAGACATGATTTTGTACCAAATTTGCACAGGAATATAAACTTTCAAGCCACACAGAATCAGGACTACAGTCACCTTCAGAGAAGCTTGTTAGGGAAATGCTCCTCACAGAACAGTGATGCCCTGGTATCAGATTAGTGAATGCTCTGCCTATTTTCCTTTGCCATTTGTTTGGCCATTCCAATTTGCATCGAAATGCAAATTTAACATGAGGGTCAAGATCTCACCAAAACCAAAATCAGAGAGGTTACATGAAAAATCATCAGCTGAGGAGAATAATTATCCAAATTAGTCCCTTTCTCCTAAAGAGGAGGTTCTAAACTGGCCTGGCATTGATGACAACACCAACACCAGATAGTTTGGCTCCCTAAAATGTTGGTCTCTTTTCCCCTCAGCCCCTAACCTGCATGCAGCAGTCTGGGGATCAAGGTAATAGAAATGAGGATAAAACAAATTATTTGTTCAAAGTCCTGCTTTGGCTTTTTGTGGCTTTAGATGTACATCCTTCACTGCACTGCTCTGTGATCTGTGTTGGTAGCTCAACTCCAAAGGAAAAGCAAGCTGCAAAACAAAAAGGTCCCCCCGGGATCACACACAGCAGTATTCAGCTCAATTACTTATTAAAGCACCGACACAGCATAGATTTTTTTTCAGTACATTACTTATTCAATCAGGGCTCCAACTCTCTCAGACTGATCCCTTAAGAAAAAGCAAACATCTTTCCCTGTTTGTTTCCAGCTGCATCACAAAAGACTTTAAAGACTTGAGGCTGCAAAGAAAACTGTTTGTCTTTGGGTTGTCGTAGAGCAAGAGCTTGTGGGTGAATCCAGTGAAGCTCTCATTGACTGCTGAGAGCACAGGGCCATCGAGCTGGGAAAGGTGCTTGGATTTTTCCAGGTAACTCCATGACCCACCTCCAACCTAGAGCAGCTTTACCTGTGTGGGACAGGAGCTGCAGGCAAGACAGCAGGGAACAATCTCTTTGTGGCAATCAAGGGCCTGGGTTTTTTTTACAGGATGTGAGATCAATTTTCCATCAATTTATTCTAGACTGGGAATAATTCATCAGATATTTAAACACAGAGGCTGAACTTTCATCTAGGTAAGATGAGCATGCTGTGTTGCTCACCTTGAAGAACAGTAAGGTCCCCTGTGGAGGAGGGAGGGAATCAACCTCCATCAAATATTTAGAGGTAGAAGCTGTTGCCTTGCCTTTAGATTTCTCTGATCTAAGCTGTTAAGTTGTAGAATCACTGAGGTTGGAAAACAGCTCCAAGATCCTCGAGTCCAGCTGATACCACAACACCACCTCTGCTCCAGACAGCCAGAGTACCAGAGGGTAGAGAAGCTGGCAAAAAGCCCAAGTGGTTTTGGAAACCAAAGGGCACCAGATCTTTCCATCACTTTTTTAAAGGCATGTGAGAGCAAGAACCTGTGTTTCCTCGGTGAGCTGTTGTGCTTTCCTAGAAGGACAAAAATAAAAGAGTAGTAGAAGTCTTACAGCAGAATTTCTTCAAAGGACCTTTCAAGGGGAAGATTTATTGAGTCTTATTCTATCAGACACTAGTCAGTGAACATGTGCAACTTGGGTGAGCTGGGAAAAAAAAGAGCTTGTCTATAAATTCTTGTACTCCAGACACTGTTCCTCAGAGGCCAGCCCTAATAAACCCATCATCACAGCAATACTATAATTCAGTGGTGGCTCACTCTTCAGAGCCCTGCATCTTTTCTCAGGGACTTCTGCAGCAAACACTGTGCATCAGCTGCCCTGAGGACACAGTGCTTTAATGTGGGACGTGTCAGAGAGCCCCAGCCTGGCCCAACAGACAAGGAAGAGTCTCCTCTCCCTATCCAGAGAAGAGCTCAGGCCCAGAAAGTAGTTAAATCATCCAGACAATATCCTACTAGCACCATAAAATACTTTGCTAGGAGCCAAGATATTAACTAGAAATGTTCTACAATGTGCTATGAGCTGGGAAATGGGAGGTTTAATCTTCCCCAGCTGAGTAAGAAACTGATCTTGAGCCTCCCATTTCACAGGCAAATAAAGCCAGAAAGCTACAAGAGACAATAATCATCTCACCCTGACAAAACCAATGAGCTACTCAAGAAATTGTCACCAAAACTGCACAAAGCTGAAAGATGTAGAGAAGGCAGAGTTACTGAATGCCTTCCTTTCATCAGTCCTCACCAACAAGCCCAGACCTCAGGAATCTCTGACCCAGGAGACCAGGGAAAATGAATGTCAGGGGGAAGACCTCCTTTTGGTCACCAAGGGTCTGGAGAAGCTCTCTCACAAAGAAAGGATGAGGAGCTGGGGCTGTTCAGCCTTGACATAGGCCAGGCTCTCCTCAGTGGCACCCAGCAATGGGAGAAGAGGAATGGGCAGAAACTGATGCCCAGAAAGTTCCACCTGGACATGAGGAAGAACCTCTTTACTGGGCAGTGACCAAGCACTGGATCAGATCACTCAGAGAGGATGCAGAGTCTCCCTCACTGGGGATATTCCAGACCATCTGGACACAATCCTGTGCTCTGGGTTAACCCTCTTGGAGCAGGGAGGTGGGACCAGATGACCACTGCAGCCCCTTCCAACCTGACCCATTCTGTGATTGTGACCTCTCCAAACCCCTTCCCTGTGTGGCAAACTTTGACATTAAACCAACCAGTAACCTGGCAGAACTTCAGGCTAATGATGATGGCAATGCTGCCTAAACTAGCAGGCATTGTTTAACTTCCATTAATTAATCCTTCTGCATTTCTCTACAGCCTTGCTCAATGACAAAGCAACTGCTGACAGTGGAGGCCTGCAAGAAGTATTATATGTTTTAGCACTGTACCTTTGGACCCAGAATAATAAGCACATAAAAGAGATAGATGTGTATTTGTAATGCCACCTTTTAAAGCAATTGCTTAAAAGAATCCTGCTTTAGCAACTCGGAAATGTAATTCTTGACCTTCCTGAGTAATCATGCTAATATCAGGAGAAGTTGTAATTATTCAGTCATGAAGAAAAGAAGGTACTGTTTGTACTCAAAAGTGGAGCACTTAAATATAAAAGAGAGACCAAAGGAGGAATGTGAGCATTCCCTGGCCACTCCAGAGGTGAGTCATAGCAAGTGGTTCCCACTCTCAACAGGATGTGGCAGGGACAGGGAGAGTGCTCCTATGCCCCCAGATTGTGAAGAATATGAATTTGAGTCATCCAGCTCCAGCAGGGCACAATCCAGCTCTCAGTCAATAAAGAGATTCTCTACTCTCTACAATTCCTTGGCTTATTCCCAAGACACATTACAGCTTCTAGAGGAGGGGAAGAGAGGCTTCAGTCACTTTCATTAAACAATCTTCTTTATTCCCATGAGAAATTTTATCCTAAGGGAAAGATACCAGCTCCACAGAACGCAGTAAAGTGTTCCCATTTGCACAGGGGTGTTCACTCAAATTCTGCAACTTCCACACATCTTTGCAGAAAGATCTCCAGGCTCACATTTTCTAAGATTTTCTCAGCTAGAGGCTACTTAATCTGGACTAAAACATTTGAAATGAAACAGTAGCAACAGAGCAAGACAATCAAGCTGTTGTATTCAAATTCAAGATCTCCGAGAAAGAAAGGGGATATTGGGAGTGTAAAAAAAAAAAAATATCTTCCTGCTCTGTCAAGGGCAGAGCATGACACAGAATTTCACAGCCATGACAAGGAGGAGGAGGAAGAAAGAGTAACCCCAAGCTAGTGTGCAGATAGACTGACTCTGCTTTCTGAAGCAGAAAGGAGGTGTTTGAAACTTCCCATGTTTGGTCTTTTATTTTCTTTTTTTACAAAATTGATGTCAAGTAAAACATTGTACAGTGGTGTCTGTATCACAGAAGATGTCTGTGCTTTCCACAATCTATAAACCCCTGCCATATCATGCTTTATCACACAACAGGCTTTCCACAGTATCATGTGACAAGAATTTCCCTTCCCAGAGGATCCCAGGGAGTCTTTAAGGACTTTAATCAGCCTCCTCCACATATTAAAGAAAGACAGGATTAAGTCAGTGTGGTTATGCTTTCTGTGTGGGCAAAGATATAAACATCTCCAAGTCACAGATGAAAAGAAAGATAGCCTGAAAACATGTAAGCAAGAGAAATTGAGGTATTGAGACACTTTGCTAGACAGGTATGCAGAGGCTGGCATGCCAAACACATGGAATCAAAGCTGACAGAGATGGGTAGAGTGACTCACATACACAAGGAACTTGACTTTGTCACCCAGCTCTCCAAAACAGCAAGCACAGTCAGAAAAGTACCCAAGAAAAATTGAGGCCACAAACACACAGAGCAATATGATGCTTTTTTAATCAGGTTTTCAATCACAATGTAATTTTTTCCCCACCAACACACTCAAACACAGACATTTAAAAATTATTTGTCTACAAAGAGGAACGAAATGATTTAAACAGCTCCAGTAAATTCTGAGCAAATCTCTTCTGATCTTCTCCTTGGGAGTCTGCTCAGACAACATATAAATTTTATTTGCTTCTATTTCACAAGACAAGAAGAGGCTGGGTTGTAGATAACCTTCTGTTCAAGCTCAGCATATCTTTTCAGAAGTGGACGATAGAGCTAAAAAAGAAAAAGAAATAAACATGTCTCATTGAAAAATTAGATTTTTAAATTACACTGCAGTTAAAAAGCATTTCAGACATGAAAAATGCAGCATCTTCGCAGGTACCTGAAGGTTTGGGCTGGTTTTTGCCCAATTTGCTCATGAAAGTGCTGCAGAGTTTTCCCTCTTTAAATGTCACAGTCCTTTTTACCATCGCCTTTACAGCTTAATTTTATGACATGCACAGGTTGTTCTTATTGTGACTGGGTTCTTGCTATAAGCAGAAGCCATTACTTCCAGCAGAAGCAGCTCAGCTAAAGTCACCTCTCCCAGTGTGCCATGCCCCCTCAGTAATAGCTGTGCTAATCACCCAGGCAGAACTCCTGTCCTTGCCTCCCTGCACTGCCCCAGGATGGATCACTGCCTGTCCCCTCCTCCTCCTCTGCCTCACTAATCACCCCCCTGCACCCTCAGCACAGCCAGCTGGCTCCTCCTTGGCCAATGTGCTGACCAGGCCCTTCTAAAGTGCACCTCACACTCCCCCTCAGACTCCTGTACCTGTTTGAGCTGCTTCTCTACTCCACATTATCACCAGCCAGGGTCTGTGTACAAATCACAAACAGGATGGGACTGCTGGGAACGTGCCTTGAGCTGTTTTATTTTTCAGCATCAGCCTCATTCCATGGTTATGACAATGTTAAGATGCCATCAGCTCACATCCCAGGCAGCAGACCCAGAACTTAATTTTACAAATTACTTTATAAGTTTTTTGACCAATCACACAAAGCAGAAGCACATTGACAGTAGTTCTATCCAACCACTATAAGCACACGTACCTTCAGTTAAAACAATGCTTGCTTATTTCAAATACAATACACCTGCTTGTAAGCCTTAAAACACAATGCACAGAGCTCCATTATTAAGCTTAGAACTTCCTAATATCTTGCTAGATAAACTTTTCTGTAGCTTAGGGAGTTATTCTAGACAAGCATTAATACACAGGTCATTGTTATATTTGTCCTTACTTTTCTACATTTTACATAATTTTTCTGCTGACCAATCTCATGGCTGCTGCTTAGCTCTAATCACAGTTCTACTGCCTCTGAGGCCTGCCTTTTGCAGCTTTCCCAAAACCCTCTGATTTTGTGGATTCCCACACACATCTTTCACAGCCACATCCTCTCCCATCCACAGGCTGCTCCATGGCCACATTCCTTGCTCCCCAAGCTCACAGGGACAAATGCAGACCCAGCTTCTAGCCACAGCTACACCAAGTATCTGAGTCGCTTGTTTGTGTTTTCCAGGAGATTTTAGGTACAGTATTGTTACAACCATAAAAAGAAGAATCAAGACTCAAATGTGTTCAAAGCCCCTGACTCAGGCACATCCTGGATTTCAGATATGGGTGAGATCCATCTCAAAATCCAAAAAATCAAAATCTCTACTCTGCTCCAACCAAAAACTGTACTTCATCTAGATCTTGGAGATGCACCTTTCTCCTTATCTCCTCCCTTATCTGTCCCTCTAATAAAACCAGCACTGTGACAAGCCACACCAGGACAGGTTTGCACATTTGCTGGCTGCAGCACAAAGAAGGGAATGCCATGAGCAGGGTCTGGTGCAGGCTTGAGCAGTCCCTAGGAGGATGCCATGAGGTCAGATCCCTGCCACAGTGAATCCTAGAGGCTGCCAGTCTGCTCCACAAGCCCTCTGCACTGACTCATAATCAGGGCAGCCTCACTCCTGGCTCCAGGTTCAGAGAGGTTATAGAGCCGTAATGAATCACAGCCAGCAAACTGAATTACTGCTCTCATCAGTAAGAGAGATCTAGCATTTCAATGTGGTCTATCCTTTTCAGCCAACAACAGTGTGTGCACAAGTATGAAAAATTCAGGAGGAAAATGTTTCAGGTGTAAACTATGGGGATGTAGTAAGAGAGCAGCTTCTCCCTGGGCAGGTCTCTGTATAGTCCTGCAGTAGCCTCAGTGTCTGTAACAGCCACACCTTCCGAGATCAAAAAAAAACCCAAAAAAAAAAAACAAAAAAAAAAAAAAAAAAANAAAACAAAAAACCCAAAAAGTTTTCTCATCTAGGAAATAAAAAACAGTGGGGTTTTTGTTTTCTGTTTCAACTGATGGCAAAATACCCAGTTTTTATCTTTCCCTTCTGCTGAATGACAGTTTAAGATAGACCAGTGAAAACTGGATTTATCTCTTCATTCCCATTCCCACCTTCCACAACAGCAGGTGGAAGTGACTTAATAGATGCATTCTGCAGATGGATCTAGTTTTGACCAACTCCTTCCTTTTTACAAACCAGATGTTACAGAAAATAAAGTTTCCTTTCTACATTTCTACAACAGATGAAGTACAAGAAGAGGTAGGAGAGGAGCATCCACAGCAAGTGGAAAGAGACACTGTTTGTTAGCTAAGACATCAGAAAATGGTTTTTAAAGCCATCTCACAGTGACTGAGTCTTACAGAGCCTTCCACTGATTAAAGCAGAGAATCCTGCTCACTCCTGCCTCTGAAACAGACTCATCCAGTGACCCCAGGCCAGGCATTTAACATGTGTGTGCCCCAGCTCCTCTTCTCCACAGGACAGTGATACTGAGATCCTGGAGCTTTATGCAGATTTATGGGGTTAGAAAATAAAATGCACCACTATTATGAAATGTCACATTACTCAGCGTGGTATTTTTAACTAACTACATGAGGGCCTGGAGGGCTCAGAGAAGTACACATACATATTCTTTTCATGTTCCCAAAGAACATGAAAATATTGCTCCCATTTCTGGTAAATGTGCACATCAGAGTAAACAAAACATTGAGTAGGCAACTATGGCTATACTGGGAGTATCAGTATTTCAAATAAAACCAGCTTCTCTATTCACTGAAGCATCTGTAATGAAGACTGGCTATTTCTTACTTCACTATTCTGTACATTTGATAAGTGTTAAGTGCTTCTCAGCAAAGATTCAGCACAGCAAAGCTGCATTGGTAAGTGAGCTCAGGCACTGAGAAAGCAGGCTCCATGTTATTTGCCCATCAGTATTTTTACCAAATACATACATTTACCAGAAGGCTGGGAAGTATTATTGTTAATACATCACTCTAAATTAAAATGTGTCAAAATAAATGAACAACAACATTTACTGACACAGTTTCTTTTCCTGTTTATTGGACTTAAGCACTTAGTTTGCTAATTGAGAAAATTCAGGCATTTGCAATAAGCTTCTCAGCCATTAGTGTAAATGAATCCTGCATTATGGACCATATGAAAAAAAAAAAAAGCAACTGCAAACAAATAGTCAAGAATATTTCCTGTACTCCACTCCTGCTCTTTGGGGTAAAAAGCTGTGCAGTTCAGAGGGATAAGCAAAGCCTTAAATTCCTCCTCCTCAGGGAATGTGGCTGTAATACCACCAGTACATCATAGCTGATGAGCGCAGCAGTACCACAGGCTTTTCACTGGCAGTATTCTTCATGCCAGCTGAGGTTTGGGGCAGTGCAGCTCCCATGAAACACAGAGAAAACCCAAACAGCACCAGCCCAGAGCATGGCCTGAGTGTGCACCCAGGTGTGTCTGTGGAAGGGGATTCTCCACACCTGCCATGACTGAAGTGCCTCCACAGCACCTTGGGCAACTCCTCCTGTGCAGTTCTGGGAGTCTCTTTCCTGAGGCAATTATAGAGATGTGTTCTTATAAAGGTCCAAAGGGAATAAAGGACTCTCAATAATGCATAAAAACCCAAGGACATAAATTCCCTCTCTGCCATAGCCTCAAACCTAATCTATCAAAGTGTGATATTTAATAAAAGTAATTACATGTATCACAACACAAACCTTATTATTGTCCATAATTTAATTGTCCTTGCTTAATTATGGCCCTTTCTCCAGCTTATCTTTATTGCCTACTCCACAACATTCACAGTACTCTGAGACTGTTTCATTTACAAACCCTAAACTTCTCTCCTGGGACAATTTGGACACATTCTGACAGTCGCACAACTAAAGAAAATGCTAATGATTAATAATATATTAAAACAGGGAATAATTTAACTTTCCCTCTCTGAAAAATGCATTTGTACAATGCTACTTTGTTCTCTAGAAAAAATCAAATGTTTCATCCTGTTACTGCATCTCACCACATTTCCAGCCTATGTACTCAACTGGGCTTTTACTGTTTAGATTGTCCCTGCCACCTTCTAAGAGCAAAAGCAGCTACAAATTATTACTACAAGTGACAATCCACATGGATCCTCCTGTCTTCTGCAATGCTCTGTTAGCCAATCACTGGAGCAATTCAAAATTTACAAATCACAAAGATGATGCTGATGATTATCTAATTTTAATCTACCCAAGTACATTTAATCTACCCTGAATAGATTAAAATTAATCAGTCTCTCACAAACACTTGCTACTTTTGGTATGTTCCTTTTTTTTTAAACCAAAGTCAAATTAGTCATAGAGATTTGCTTGAGAAATCAAGGGTTCTTTTATTTTTCCAATCATAGCAGTTGTTCACTATTCTTAACAGAGAAAGAATACTCATAAAGCAGAAACAATAAAACAGTGTTCTGAAATACTCTGAAGACTTCTCCAAGGAACCACACCTGAAACAATTACTTTCTTTACTTCAGATATCCATTCTGCAAGCCCATCTTAATCAGCTTAGAAAATTATTGGCTATACAAATCACCTTAATCAAACTTCTATCAATACCTATTATATTTTTGTGGTTGTATTATTATTACATACTTTGCACTAAATAACCAACCCAAACCAATTCTAGAAAACAACCTCCCCCCTCCAAAACCTAACTCAACAAAATACAATTATTTTAAATCAATAAATAGGTCATTATAACCTTCCTGGGTAATAGGGTCATTTCTATAAATCCACCCACTTACAAGGCAATTCACCAAAGTCAAGAAAACCTGTTAGGTTTACATTTTCCCTTCCTGAATTTTTGCAAGATTAATACATCTCAGCAGAGTCAATAATGCAATCAAAAACCACACATCCAGAGGTAGTGAGCTGCTCCACGCCTTCTCCCTGCAAAACCCCACAGGACAATATCACAACCAATCTGGCACTCTGTCACACAGCTTGTATAAACACAAGTGACCAACTCCCAGACAATCATGTTCCCTCTCATGTTTTATTTTTGCTTAATTAACCAACTAGCCAACCATCCCTGTTTTAATAGATTACTAAAATAGATCTGAATTCTAATGCTAAAATAACAGATTATTTCTGTCTGTTAACATCTATTTATTGCTCTAGAATCTCCTGGTTATTTTTGTCATGCTCCGTGGTTCTGATTAATATTTTCCTCGGGGAAGAGAGGAGGCCCCAAAGAGGTGAAATGACTCTAATTTTTGCTATGCTGAAAAAAAAGGAAGAAGGATTAATCATATTAACACAAAAATTACTGACTTGAGCTGGTGTGGTTGAGTGAGTGACCAAGGACTATCACCACAGTGGTTCCCACCAGAGCACCTCATGACCCATTTGGGTATTGACAGAATTAGAAACAAGCTCAGATTAATACCCCTATCCTACAAAAATACTGGGAAATCAGGTTCAGCTAAGAGACTTGGGGTCATACCCACAGAGAGGGATTCATCCTCTTTGAATTGGTCTCTTCAAGGCACCATGGTCTGCTGCAGGACAAAGTCACATTGTTGCCAGGCAAGTTGGAACTTTTGAGACTTCAGTTTCCACTAACTACTGATTCATGGCCCACCACAAGCCCTGTGTTCCCCATCTTGTGACTTTATTCTATTTTACCTGCCCATCAGTTTAATTGAACCAGAAGAGCTGCTTTGTGTGCCCTGCCCTTGCTTTTTAAAATCACATTCATTATCACAAATGATCCCTCAGAAATCAAAGAGAAGCTTTTTGCATTTTTGGTTCCTGGAAACCCCTGCTGTGGGCATAGGCCTTGGCAAGGCAGGAGAAGCTACATCAAACTGTCCCATCTGACCTCTGTCTACAGGAGGTTTTCCTCTCTCCAATGATCTAACACGCTGTCTCCAACCGATACCAGGAAGAAAGGATGAAACCAGAGCAGATTGCTGTGTTATGACCTGTTTTTTCTCCACCCTGCCAAGATCTAGCTGTAGCTGTCCAAAAAATGTAAAGAAGTGGTTGGGGGAATTTCACATTGGTGAGCCAGACTCTTTCAGAAGAGCTCCTCAGCAAGACAGGACTTAACCTCAGGATGACTTTGAAGTTTATAAAAAGAACTATCATTTAAGTGAAAGGCTCTAACCCCAACAGAACGAAATTGGATGGACAGGGAGATGCAGCTCTGTATGAAACAGAATCAAACTGACTCATTGCATTATGAATTTCTGCTGCACTGTTCATGCTAGCACACTGTATTACTGACAGGCCCTCTGGCTCTCTGCAGTTTCACAGCCATGAAACCAGCCAGGGAATCCACCATCAACTGCAAAATTATAAGGCAGGAAGAAAAAAAAAGAAATGGTGTGGAATATGTAATTGCAAGAAGCTGATTTTAATGGAATGAAGCTGGAAAGCTAAGCTAAAGAGCAGGAATGGTTATTCCTTCCCATGCTGTTTGGCCACTGCCTCCCTGTCATTCATTCCTATCTACTGGGGCAACAATTCACTACTGTACATCATTTAAAACCAATAAAAAAAGATGTGCAAGGAGAGCCAGGTCTAACCATGTGGAAAAGGGAAGTATTGAGAAGGAGATAATTAACTCTTTTAGCTTCCAGGCCGTTTTATGCAGAGAGCAAAGCAGAAAGAGGGAGCTGAATTCCCCAGTGATCTCTGCAGTCAGGTTTGCTCGGCCCCTGCAGGGGTGCAAGGTGCTTGCAGGGCCCCTGTGAGTGACAGCTGTATCCTCTGCCCTTGAGTTTTATAGCTGAAGCAGCACCAGGGGGTCAGGAGCAGGTCTCTGAGCACTCCCCAGCTTTTCAGCACGCAGCATTTTGGGGAGGAACGGGGCAGCCACGTGAGGTTGGGTCAGGCACCGGGGAGCTGCTCCTGTGCTGTGCTCCCTGCAGGGAGCTTCAGCTGCAGCACACGTGGCACAGGCCACTGCTGTTAATTATTTTATCTTTTAAAATGAGGGGGGAAGGTTGAGTAAATGAGATCAGATCAATCAAGTTTAAATTATTCAATGTCTTAATATTTCTGAAGGGGACTTCTATTCGATTACCGAGCTCCTCCATCTCAGTTAATAATTAAATAATATGCTGGCAGGCACAATGCAGCATGATCATTTCTATTATTACTCATGATGATATCTGGTACTCCTCTACACATGTAGCTGGGAGTTAGTAGTTTTGGCAGATCATTAATTTCCCAGTTTAAATAAAAGCTTTAAAACCTTGTTGCCTGTAGTTAGGCCACTTCCAAATCTCATAAATGGTGGAGAGTGTAAGGCTGTGCTGATGTAAAAGAAGCTTTTACACAGCTGAAGACCTTGGTGAGATTCACCTTTGTTATTTAAACATGTGTTCTCCAGGAATCTTGCTATATGGTATTGTTTATTTATTACTGTGCATTATATTTGAAAAGCTGTTGTAAACTAAAGCCTTGGGCTGGGGCTGAGACGTGCAGGGCTGCACTGGAGAGCCTGAGACAATGATTCCTTCCTTGGTTTTACAAGGGCTGGAGTCACATAGTTACCAGCAATGACTCTCTCCTCTGCTTTGTCTACGTGGGCCATAAAGCACAAACTCACCTTCAGACGTGCCAGAACTCACAGCATGGGCACAGGACCAAAGAGCTGTGCCTACTGAGTCCTCCCAGCTGCCATGGTTTCAGAGGAGATACCAGTGATTATATACAATTGCTGAGCACTATTTACAGACAGGAAGGGTTTTTGGAGATGTTTTCCAATAAGCCAGAAAGCACAATCACCTCCCTTTTGTCCATGCTGCTTGCTGCAAACAAGTCCAGATTATTTTTTCAAGATTATCAGTAACAACCTGACTGACCCGTGTCCAAATTCAATCTATTTTGTAACTTTTTCTGTCCCTTAAGGAAGATATTCTGCTCTCTGATCACACCTTGTTAGGAAAATTCATTCTCACAGACCTGGATGGTGGGATCGGATTATTGCATCATTACAACACCAAATACTTTTCAAAATCAAATCTGTCTTTACAACAAGGAATAGGAACTGTGTTACCAAGAGTTTCCTAAATTAATCTATTTTACCAGAAGAATTAGCAAACCACTACATTTTAGAAGCAGACAGGAAATAAAAAGAAAAATGGCATTCCCAAACTTGCTCACCTCCTCAGCCCCTGGGGTGGGTGTAACAGCCAATCTGGGCTCTGGTGCTAATTTCACAACATCAGCCAAGGGCACATTCCTCTCAGCTACAAGTCCTGCAACGAGAATCACAATCCTGATCAATGCAAAAAAACACCATGAGGGATGTGCCTTGACTCCCTGGCAAATTAATACATTATATTGATCTTCCCTGGTCAGGTCAGCATTCAGGATTGAAGGATAAATGGCAGAGGATCTTACATTCCTATGAGCTAGCCTGGGAAGTGGGGACTCTGTGATTGAGTTTTTGCCAATCACTCAATTTGTACCCTAGGGAACAGGTGAGCAGCAGAAATGCTACTCAACAATATCAGTAATTATTTATGGTTACAACAGTACAGTAAACAGCAGTTAAAATAGGTGGAAGCAAGGGATTCAAGGACAAAATGTGACTAAACATAAAAATGAAGAGAAATGAAAACACTTTTAAGAAAATATGCTACAAATTATTAATTATATTTATATGTAAGGAAGCAGAATAATAGGGGACTTCTGCTACGACAGCATTTTGCTTTGCGAGCAAATCACAAAGCATTTCAGGAGCTCCCTGCACACCTGCTAAGAACCCCAGGCTAACTGTGAAACACCCCAGATGCACATTGCAATATTATTAAAGAGCCCTTGCCATCAGTATTTCATTTATATTATCAAGTCCCCACTTTTCCTCAATCCCTTTGCCTGGCCAAGAGTGAGGCAGCTGAAAGCATCAATCAAAAATGCCATTTAGGAACACACACACAGAGCAAACCCCCTGGGGCCTGGCTGGCAGAGGATGAGAGCCCAGGAGTCCCTCCATCAGCACAGCAGCCCAAACCCTCGCTCAAACGCTCTGTCAGCCAAGCCTCCACAGCTCAAATGCCAACTGGCAGAGGGAATACACATCACACACACACAAAATATCCGCACAAACTTTAATGGTGCCTCCACATTTCACACACATTCAAGGGTAAGGAATCTGCCTGCAGCATTAAGTTCTGAATTAAGTTGCCTTCTGAAGCAGAAGGTAAAGTTTAAGTATAAGGAAAACTGTTTGGAAAAGCGACCCACAAGGTGCAAAAATGGTCCCATTGCGGCTTCAAATATAAAGATAATCCGAGTGTTTCCATTGTCCTGCAAAAGCCTGCTTGGCCTGACAGAATCCTTGTGCCTTTTCTGGAGATAAGGAAGAGAGCATGCTGTGTGCATCAAACACACCAATTCAGGTTTCGGTTGTGCAATTCTCTGTGCTGTTTTCAAATGCAAGAGATCATGTAGTCTTTAGATGCTATAATGTGCCAGCAGAATTTGCTTCTAAAATTAAAACTTGGCTGATTTCTTCTGATGGCTGGTGCTATCTTTTCCATGCTTGTTGCAGTCCCATGGTCTTACATGAACTTGTAGAAAAGTTACCCATGTCTTAAGGCCCAAATCCTAAAGAATCAAATTTAAAAAACTGAGGCAAACTGAAGTTGACCTAAACAAGGACTTCCACACTCCTTGAACTGTTTATTGTAAGATATTAGAAACCATTTTAAAATACATGGATAAAAATTCAAGTCTTAAATAGCTGATGGCTCACCCTTAACACACACCCACATGCATTAATAGATATAAGTTAATTAACATGTAAATCGTGGGGCTTGGACTGTTGTATGACAGTGAGCGATGTTGTACAGCAAGCAAGATGACTGGTCAACCTAAGAGTATCCCAAGATTCATACTTTTACAAGAGAAAGTGCACGGAGCCCAGGATATCTTGCATATCATTCATCTCAATGTTTAAAAGCTGGAAGATAAATATAGTTTTAGGTCTTGTTGTCCCTGCTCTCAAAGATCTTCTTTGCTGGGATCAACCTTTTGTTTGGTTTGGCCATTTCAGCAACCCAGTCTACAGTCCAGTCCCCAAACTGGGGCAGCAGGCTGCACCAGCGCCTTCAGTTGGCTGTATTCTTCCATGGATGTAACTCAACATGTGAAGGTCCTAGACCTTTCCTAGACAGTACCAACACTTCCCATCCCCATCCCTTGGCTGAGAAGCAGCCACCAGGCTTGGAATTACAATGTAAATTATATTCTCTGCCCTAATCCAAGTGTACTAAGCAAAAAAATCCCTCTTTGACCTGTGTGACCTTCCAGTCAGATGCGCACAGCTTTACTCCCCCCTCACGCCCAGTAACATTAATCCCAAGTATTATCCAAGTGAAATTAAATTCCCTGACTGCTCACAGGAGTCTCCTGGCAGCCTTACCATGGATTGCTCTGTAAGCACTTCCCAGACAAGCAGAGTTGGCCGTGTCGATGGTGAACACGGGCGCGTTGAACACGTCGGACAGGACCTGAGGGGCATCAAAGCATCCATGAAACACAAAAGGAAAGGAAAAATCCTTCATCACTGCTCAGGAAAACAAGCAGCTGTCCCAAGCCCCAGCCAAGCACTCAGGAACCCGTGGAAAGAAGCACTGCAGGCAACAGTGAGGCCTGAACTTGTCACACCACAGGGTATTGGTAATTCCGAGCTACAGATGTAACTCTAGCCAGGAAATGAAGTCCCATTTCTCTCCAGATGTCTTGGTTACAGTTCAGAGGAGCCCTGGTTCAAGCATCATTCCTCAAAACTCACACAATCAGCACACGCTAAAGGCTTATGTCAGGGCAAGGAGACCTGCTCAGGAGCCCACAAATGGAGCCTGTTTGCTTCCATCATGTTGAAGCTGATTTTAGTGGAAAGGAAAGAGAGAAGAACCAGTCATCTGTTCCAGAAGAAAACAAGAACCAGTCACAGCTCCTCAGTTCCAAACTTGGATAAAAACAAACCTTCAGCATCATGAAGGCCTGCTAAGGCTTTCTTCATCTCCACCATTCCCATACCATTAGGGTCAGCAGGGAGAACAACACAGGAGCTGATTACACAGTCTCTAAATTTACCAGTTTTCCTGGTTTTAAGGGAACTTTAGCTATTAAGATATATTGAGACATTTGGCTTGGGTAATACAAATAAAATTTTACAGGCAAAGAAATTATTATGGTATTCAACAGATACTAAAGTTATTTGACCACTCATCATTCTGCATTGAAATCAACACCATCAGCACCTCACATCTGCTCTTCCCCACAGTTTAGGTTTAGAAAAACAATACAGAATGGGAAAAATTAAGACATATCTGGATAAGGGCATAGGAGGTTTAATAATTCCTTTCCAAAAACATTGTCAACAAATGCTTTCCATTTTGGTTTCATCACTTCTAGGACTGCAAGTGCCCCTCAGGCTGAGCAATACAAGAAGCAGGAAACAATTCAGATGTAACCTGTGCTGGTTTTATTACTTTTGCCAAAGGGAAAAGTGTCTCACCTGACTTAAATCCATACAATTGAGTCTAAAATAAAGCCAGAATGTCCAGAATTCCAAACCATTTGGGATTAGTGCAAGGCAACCCTGATCCTGGAATTTATAACCCTGCTGGGGATGGACCCAAGGGTCCATAAAAGATGAGTAAGAAATGCAATCCATATCACCTATAGAAATATATATACGTGGAATTTCTAAAGGATTTTTCTTTCTCTGAAATTTTGTGCAGAATCTTCAAATCAAAACCTTTGAAAATCACTGATTTTTGCAATTTAAATGAAAGTGGCTGTTTGCTAACTAGAACCCAGTGGAAGCCTGAGCTGATACACTTAAAACTGTCTTAAGCAGCACATGAATTTCAATGCTAGAGAACAAATGAAAAATAAATCATTGTCATCTATTAAAAAGTACTCTGGAAATTGTAAGGTCACAGAGCTCTAGTCCCACTGCCCATCCTACCAGCCAAAGACACTTTGTTTCAACACATTCCCCACCTATGTCTTCACCTCATCTCTAGCAGGCATTTCTGAAGTTTAATTGTACAATCTTTCGAACAACAATTTTTTTTTTGTATCTCTGAGGAGCCTCATACAATGCAGCTCTACTCTATACTGATTGCTAAGTGCTGTAATACCAAAAATAGCATTTTAACAATTTAACAAATAACATTTTTTACCACAATTATAAAATTAAAATTATTCAAAGTCCATATATTTGGTAAGTTGTTTGAAACTGTGGTATCTCTCACAAATAATTTTAAAATAAACTGTTAGAGGTTCTACTGCTTAGGATAATTCACTGTGTTCCATGTGGTCATTAATCAAGCACCACATATGCTATAAAAAGCTTCCTGGAACTGTGGAGAAAGCTGCCCTACTAAATTTTTTTAAAACAGATTTTCCTAAGTTGTCTCCTTTGTGGTGTAAAATACAGGAGTTCCTGAACGTTGATTAATTAAATGATAGTCCTTTGTAGCCCTGGAACAAATTATCCAAAATTGACCATGATAAGGGTGGAAGCTGTTATTCTTTATGCAACTGATATGGTTTCTGAGGTTTTGATTAAATTAAAAAGAAAGATCCAATTAACCAGTGATTGAATTAAGTGAATGACACTGTATTGATCATATTATTTTAAGGCACTTCTAATGAGTTTTAAAGCCAGCTGAATTGTTATACATGAAGAGCAAGCACCCCAGCCACCACTCTCCCAATCCCATGATTTTTCAGCTGTGTCTGTTACCAAATTATGTATTTTAAGAACATTTGTTTCTCTGCCTTCATTGCACAGTGAGGAGATCCTCCTGGCACACAAACTGAAATACAGCCTTAAAAACAAACTCATCTGTGAACCCAATTCATCCTTAGCAGAATTACTCCTGTAAGGACCAATGTTTTAAGCAATTAACCAATCATTTAATTTTCCAATGTCACAATCTTAGGCAAAGTAACCAAAGAAGATGAAGAGAAGTGACATCTGCAGGCAAAACATGCCAAATTTGCTGCTCCCCAGTCAGCTCTACAGGCAGCAGTTACACACACACGTGGTTTAGATGCCTTAGGAGAAAACAGCTTTTTGCCTTTTTGCTCTTTAACTCCCATTTAATCCAGCTCAGGCTTTGTGGAGCAGAGAATTGAGTGCAATTGTCAAAGAGAATGGTGTGCAGCTGAGGCTGGCCCTGACAGGGAGGGATTGGAATCTCCAGAAAACATTTCACCCTGTGTTCACTATGTGATAGATGAGCAATGCAATGGTTGACTCTCACAATTAAATGCCAAATATTATATAAAGTTTTATAGATTTATTGTAGGAATGTGCCCCTTGTTGATGGAGTGACAAAACTATTCTTTGTCCTTTTAAAAAGGAAATAAGCCCAGAAGTTTCTCTCCTCGATTAGGTGAAAAAGGCATTTCATCAGACCCAGAGGAATTCACCTCAAACTTTAAAAAAAGCTAATTACACAAGTGCCAAAAAGCCCTGACTGAGCAATTTACTAAAAAAGAAGAAAACAAAGAAACCAATCACTTTTGTGAGATGTTTTACCAAGGGCAGGAAAGCCTCTTGCACCTAGACCAATTTTTCTCTGTAAAGTTTGTTATTTTGCCTTTTATTAAAATTTATAGTTATGTTTTACCCCCTCCTTGCATTGTTATCATGGGATGGCCTGGGTAGTTGGGACATTTAAGAGGGTTGGCTCATTACTAGGGCAACACCTGGGCTCTAATCCAGATGGAAGAAAGTGATCTCCATCACTGGACAGCAAAGAAAAAGTCAATGGACAAGACTTTGGGAAGGGCTAAAGGGTTAAAAATTCTACCATGGTGGGAAAAAAATTCTTTACTCCTGGGACTGTATTGTTTTCTCTATTCAGTCTTCTGTTGTATTTTTTGATAAGGTTTCAATAAACCTTTTAAATTTTTGGAAGTGAGTGTCGTTTCTCAGAGCTATCACCAGTGATAAGATGGGCCCAGGATTAGAACTTCTGGTGTTTATGCTTACCTCCAGGTCAGTGTTGGAGCCTGTGGTTAAAGGGGAGCTTGTCAAGGCAGTCTCTGGAACCCAGAAAGCTCCTGGGATCCCCAAGAAGGAGACTTTACATTTATTAAGTTAAAACACCAACCCAATTTGGTTTTTGTTGCTTTCCTCTATGCTGCAACAGGCGGGATATCCCTCAACTGCCGCAGGGCTGACAGATCATACCCAGACATCCCACCACAGCTGAGTGGATTGGGGCAGGATGAATCCCAGCCCAGATGTCTCTCTCTGTGCTGTCACAGCCAGCTGAGAGGCCTCTCACCGTTTATGAGTGAGGCTTTGCCAGGGCTCAGTGGGCAGGAGCAGAGAGCACAGGGTTCTCTGCTCTCCACACGGTGGATGGAGCATCTCACCCAGGCTGGATGTGCAGCAGCAGCAAAAGAGGAGGTTGGGACAAACAACAATCCAACCAAAGTGTAGCCTCCTCCCAGCAAATTATATGATGGTAATAAGTAACAGAGACAAGGGGTTGAGGTTTGTATGAGGGTATTTGTTTGTTTTTGTTGTTGGGTTTTTTTACTGTTTACCACCAGCGTAATTGCCCTTGAGCTGAAAGAAACCAATGGTTCAACTTGGACCTGAATGACAAAAAAAACCCCTCAGGTATTACATAAGAACTTTCTTTGTGATTTCTTTGCTGATTGATTTAAGTGATGAGACATGGAAATCATCAGTGCCTTCAAATACACATTCACAAAGCCAATCTAGTGTGAAAAAAACTCTAAGTTGAATGTAAAATTAGCACTGGGCTATAGGTTTTCATACTAAACCTGATGAAAAACCCTGAAGACCTGCAGCAGATTCACAATTCCATATCCACACCTTCATGTGCAGCTGCAGTGATTTGGATTCAGTACAGCAAAATAAAAATGGAGATGTAACTGCAAGCTCAGTTCACAATTTAATTTTCTACTTACCTGTAAGATCTTTTTATTGTGGGATGCGCCACCAGTAGCCAAAATCCTTGTTTTAGGCACTGCAATGCAATAAAAAGTACAAATCAGACTGACAGTGCATGTGGTCACGATTTGTGCTACTGAGCCAAGTACAGTGAGAACAAGGAGGTGGGAGACAGGGTTCTCTCTCTGTACCTCTAATTTACCTTCTGTAAAAAAGGAGATAACACTAATTACCCACTTTTCCTGGGCACATTAGAACTCTTCCTTAGAAGAGGCAACATAAATATTGCAGATCTATTATTATTGTAGTGCTATCAACGTCAGGCAGATTTGCAAAGGAGATACTGAGTAAGAAAGGCAGTGTTATTATATTACAGCTCTGCTTTGAGGTCAGATTGGCTTGGCTCATAGCTGTATATACACAAACTGACAGATAACCTTTAAAATCAGCAGTATTTTCCAAACTTATCTCCTCATGACGTTCACAGTCAGAGTTCACTGAAACCTGGGCAATCCCCATGCACTTGAGTGACAAGGAAGTGTGTCAGAAGGCAATTACAGATGGTCTAAATCACTAAAATAAAATTTAAAAAAATTCTGAATCTTCATCCAGTGCAAATCTACAGCTATGGGGGAGTTAAAAAATATACATCCTGTGTTCTTTAGGTTTAAAGAAATCCATTCTTTCTTCTACATTTCTGAAAGTCTGTCACAGACATCTTTTATGAAAAATCCTTTCTTTAGGGTTTTTCCTCTTGAGAAGCTGAGAGGCCTCAGGAACAAAATGTAAACAATGATTATCTGTTGCTGTAGAATGCAACAGGTAGATCTGTGATTAGTCTTATGCAGTTGTTTTTAATTAATGGCTAATCACAGTGAGTTGGTTGGGACATAGTCTGAGCTACAAGCTTTTGTTATCTTTTTTTTTTCCTATTCTTAGCTAGCTTTCTGATGAAATCTTTTCTTCTACTCTTTCAGTATAGTTTTAATATAATATATATCATAAAATAATAAATTAAGCTTTCTCAAACATAGAGTCAGATCCTCATCTCTTCCCTCATCCTCAGACCCCTGTGAACACTGTCACAAATATCTGCCTCATCATTTATTTGTGTGCATGCTCCTCTGGAGCACAGCATGCAACAATCCACAATCACAATTCAGCAAGAGATTTCAAATATAAATAGTCCGAATGTTCTCACTGAAGTTCTTCAAAGGCTTAAAACAAAATAAATGCATAAACACTTTGATATGGTACATTTAAAAAATCTAAACACTTAATTACTCTGATTTATGACAATAATAAGTGATACCATCATGTATACCCTCCCAAAAGGGAAATTTCACTGTGGTTATTGTTTTGTTATCTTAACTTCCTTCTTAATAAAAGCTAAAGATAATTTATTTCTCACAAGGCAAAGTTGGGCAGCTTACACTGATGCCCTAAATAACTTATTGTCATTTATCCTTTCAAGTATCTTAATGACAAAAGCCCCGAAGACAGAATTAGAAATAATCAGAAAAATGCAGCTCACCACGCCATTTCCAGACCCCCATCTGGGTGCTCAGGTGGAGCCCAAGACCCAGACAAAGCATTGCATGGGGGACCCTCTTTAACTGATAAATTTAATTTTATTTTCCTCGTTGGAGGATATTCAGTGATGCACAAATTGGGTTTTAAAAGCCATTAGGATCTCTGTCAATGTCAGTAAACAAATAAAACAAACAGCAGAGTGATTCCTCAGGGAAAACAAGTTTCAATTATACCAACACAGAGTGACAGATTCCTGCCAAGATTATCACAACAACATAATAGCACAGAAACCAGTGAAAAATAACTAGCAAGCCTCTGTTCCTAGAAACCAAACCAAACTCTAAATTATTTGCCTGGTAGTCACAATTCTGCCTTGTTGAGGATATAAATTCTTGCGGAACCACCACACCCAACGTGCAAACACCACATTTCAGAGAGAGACAGCAGGACAGGATGAGGAGCAGACACACAGGCTGCACTTCCCAGCAGCTCCAACCAAGGAACAAGCCAGGTTTGCTCTCCAGTGCCTCTCAAAGGGGCCCCTGCTGGGTTCCCACCATCAGGAAAGAACAGTGGGCAACATCCAAGTGCCAAACAGCATCCACCCTGTGAGAGCAGCCAACACAGCCCAGCTCAGCTGCTCCCTGCACTGCCATCTGCACACCAGCTCTGGCTCAGGGCTGCTGCTCCACAGCCTTCCAAATGTCTGCATTTGGATCCAGGGATGGACAGGAGACTCACTCCTTGCTAGGCCAGCACCTTCAGGGTTTGGCTGCGTTATAAATTCATGCCATCACTGCAATTCAAGAGACTTCTGTATCAATAAGTTATCAGAAACACAGGGCAATCAACAAGTTATCAGAAACATAGGGGCAAATTTACAGTGCATTTTCTATTTAATACAGACTCCACACAAGCAAGCATTCACCCCACTATCAGTTGAGTTAGGTGTTTTCCAAGAAGCCAAACCAGATCTCAAATCTAAAATTGTTTAGCATGCTGCTATCTGCACACCCACCTTAATCCAGACTAATTCTTTTGCAGCAAAATGCTAAGAATTGTTTCAGAATATACCTAACCTACTTGATAAAAGAAACTAACTTAATTTACACTGTGAAGTTCCTTACATTGGTTAGACAGCTCATGCTCTAAATTGGATCCACTCATGAGTACAAACACCCACAGACACACAGTAAAAGCACCCAAAAATCTGTGCTGAAGACACATGAAGGACAAAACCATTCATTCTCCTCCTCTTGGAGTAGATAAGATGGCTCACTCCACTGAAATACATCACAGCCAAGTGAACTTTAGCCATCACAGTGGGATTACAGACTCTGAGCTGCTCTACAGGTGGGACTGATCCATCCAGGCCACATGGGAGCAAAATCTCAGGTGAATGTGGAGGTCTGCAATTGGCCCGAGCAGAGACAACATCATTCCTCTTTGACTTTCAGTCACTTTTCTTAGGTCTCTAAAGAACTTCTGGAATTTGCTGAATTTTAGGTTTACTTCTTGTTTCAGTCTCTCTCCAAAGAGAAAGGAAAATACATTGATCACTGATTTCAGGGATTGTCTTTTTAATGCCAATAGCGTGTGCTTTAGTGAACAGTGGACATTTGCTCTGAGATGTGTAATTGGATACATCTTATAAATAAATAAAGCAAGCCCATCATTTATGTATAAAAGGCATTAACAGAGACATTGTTCATCCATCACCAGCAGTGTTCTCAGCCAGCTGTGTTTGAATCTGTCAGGAGCTACCATCCATCCCCTACAGCACTGCACAAAGAGAACTTCAGAGTGTTACTAAAAAATCCCCAACAACAACAGTAGCAAACATAATTCAAGAATTCAAGTCTTTAACAGCTGAGAGAATCAGATTTAAGCATCTTTTAATTAAAAGCTCCTTGCATACTACCTAACCAACCAGTTTATTTCCTTCTTATTGAAAAACTAATTATTTTTTAGAGAGCTGATGCTGAATTTTAACCCTATCTAGAAGAGTTACAGCTGCACATGGCACAGTGTTGTTCTGCCATATGCACATCTTCTGGAGATCTATTGTCTTCTGTTGAACATGATGGTTGACCTAACAAAATAGAGTTAAAATAATGGTTCCCACTGGACAGGAGGGAGGGACAAAGCCCCAAGTAAAGAAGTTTATGTGGGAAGTCTGAGCAAAAGGCACTTTCCCACAAGGCTGAGAAGGCAGCACACTCTGTGCACATCACCATGCCCACAAAAATATTCATTGTTCCTTCCACAGAGATCCAGCAAGAACTGAGTGATGTTAAAGTTCATCTCCTGTCTCTTGCTTTCAGCCAAAATGTTGCTTTTATTGAAAGGTACATAGGGAAAAGAAAAAAATCTGTCACTGAGAACAGAAGGAAATTACAATGATATATGTTCAGTATTGTCAGTAGTCCCAAAAAAAACTGCAGTCCTGCATCACTGTGTATTTACAAACAGAGAGGAGGGGCAGGCACTGATCTCTGCTCTGTGTGACAGTGACAGAACCTGAGGGAATGGCCTGAAGTTGTGTCGGGGGGGTTTAGGTTGGATATTAGAAAAAGGTTCTTCACCCACAGAGTGACTGGGCACTGAACAGGCTCCTCAGGGCAGTGGTCACAGCACCAAACCTGAGAGAGCTCAAGAAGTGTTTGGACAAAGCTCTTGTTCACAGATGTGACTCTTGGGGATGGTCCTGTACAGAACCAGGAGTTGGATTTGCTGGTCCTTGTGGGTCCCTTCCAACTGAGGGCATTCTGTGATTCTATGATGATAAATAGAACAATTAAGAAAAATAATTACATTGGGAAACTCACCAGTCAAAAGGGTAAGGCTGATAATTGCCACCAAATTTTCTGCCACATCATTCATGGACAGAGACTGGAGGTTGAAATTCAGCCTCCTGTCCCACCAGGAGTGGGTCAGATCAGACCGGGGACAGATCCAGATACTGGAATTGATGGGATGACTCCTGACCTCAGGGCTTTTGGATCTTGCTGCATTTCAGCAGGACAGAAATGGTGTGTCTGTGTCACTGCAGAATTTTGCTGGTTCATGCACCTCAAAGTCCAAAATCAGAATTTGACCTTCTATTTTGAGACTGAAAACCCCTCAACTTTTTCATCTAAATTTTCAGTGCTACCCACAGTCCTGGTTTGTACCCCAAACTCCAGGAACATGCTGACTTTCAAAGCTCTTAAAAGACAATTCCAAGAATTCATCCAAACAGCTTCATAACATCTTTCTCATCACAACTGAATCCATAAATAAAACAGAACAATAGAACATGTATTCAAAAAGCAGCTGATTATGCACATGAACCCACGCCAGTTATAAGCATGATTGCAAATAACTGCAATTTACAATTTGCAAGCAACAAGAAAAGCCCCTCCTTTATTTTTCTGATTAACTTCAAAGACTATAATTTTTTAAACAGTATTTGCTAGCTTTTCATTCAAGAAAAAAAACACCACCAAAAATACATGGGTTTTTGTCCCATTTATCAAACAAGTATTCCAAAATCATCCTCCT